AAAAACATCAACAGAAGCAAACAACATCGTCAACAACAACAACATCACCAACCACAACACCAACATCAACAACAAGAACATCAATAACAACATCAACAAGAACAATATCAATTAAAAGGCCCTATATCAAATTAGCGATTTTCAATGCCTGAGCTCTACTCAACCTGCACGCTTCCACTACTTCAGACATAAACACATTAACATAGATATAAACACATTAACATATTAGCGAAAACATAAACATAAATAACGGAAACATAAATATATTCAAAAGACAAATAAACACTTATTAAACATAAACATAAACGCAGATGAAACATGAAGATTATTTGCTTAGAAACATGTTTAGAAGTATGCTTTTAGAAATTTTTGTACATAAAACATAAAAGGTAGATGCGTTACTGACACTAAGAAAACTATGGAGTTTCTAGTTCTGTCCTCTTGCCGTCAAACACAGGATCGCTTACAAATTGTTTCTAAGTAGCAATTATATTTTTGTGACGTAAAAATTGTAATGTCAACTGCAGGTTACATTCAGAAACACTTGCAAACACCCATTTGTATGCACGCGTATGCATTACACCATATATACGATTCGTATCATCATTTTCAGTTGTGAACCGACTGCACTCGAACCAGGTTAGCACCAATTAATAATAACAATGCCAAATATGACGCTCTTGTTTTCTGATCTCACTTTTTAAACCCATATGACAACATAAAATGTAAACATGAAACTTTCATGAACCAAGACTAAAATAGAAATGCCCATTCGAAAAATTAATGAAACATTGAAATGTGAATGTTTAATAGCAGAGCATGGATAGATAAAGAAAATTTAGACTCTGTGACACTCGTAAACCAACGCGTGTTTAGAGTTTTAGAAAAATTTGTAAAGATTTTTCAATAAACAATCCCAACATTTGATTCCATAGAAATTTGTTTTCAAGCAATCAAAAGCATACACACTGATACTAAACCAAGAAAAATAACAAACAACTGAAAATAAAATTGTATAAACAAAGACGTATGCCACAAAAATTACAAAAAGTGTCTGCCAACAGAAACAGAACCAGCCATAAACATTCGAATACGCAACCAGCCACCATCATCATCCCATCTCTATCAACATCAACAAAATGTAAGCCTCAAGCCAGAGCAGAGCAATTAAATATCACAACATAAGATGACATCCTATTAAACCAACGTTTAATAACAAACAAACAAAACACGAAAAATCCGTTGAGCAAATTCAAATTTAAAAAAAAATCAACTAAAATTCAAAACAGACATAAACTAACATGCAAATAACCATGAATAAAAACATAAACAAAAACAGAGGCGGAAACGCAAACATGTGCATGATTTCAAGATTTAAACCTCACCAAGCATACTGGATTCAGAGAGTCGTACTTTCAATGGTTTCAAAATGTTCAAACACACAGGGAGAAGCAAGCAGAATTAAAGCTGACTTGAATGAGAGGGCAATGTTTACTTAACAAGTGCAAGGAAATAAATTTTTAATCCCTAAGGAAAGTTTTTTTAGTTTGTAAAACACAGAACGGAGAAAATTATTTCGTTCATAAGCTGTTATGAAAACAGTTATATTTGTTCTTATGTTCATTCGGTTTCACATTTAATGAATATTCAAATCTTTTAAAAACATCTGACAAGTACATAAATATGAAACATGAAAACAAATAATCAAACAAACATGCAAACAATCATGCAAACATACGTGCAAACAGACATGCAAACATACGTGAACGTTCACAAGGCACGAGCAAACACACAGCAGCAACCTAACCACTTCATCCTCCCAAATGAAGAACGCTCTCAACAAAAGTAGTGTCAGTCGCAGTGCGAAGATGTCGCACCTACCTATGCAGAGTCTGTTCAAAGCAACTACAAATTACTATCAATCAACTTTCTATGCTACTATCATTCACTTAATGTCTACTATACGTACCCCATCTAATTTTTTTTATAACTCTATCATTAATATTGGTAGTAGTTGTAGAAGTAGTAGTTGTAGCAGCAGCAGCAGCTGGAGTGGTAATTGTAGTAATGGTAGTAGTTACTAGTACTTCAGATTGTAGTGGTAATAGTATTAGTTAGAATAGCTTTCCATGCGTAGATAAGTTCAGAGGCTGCGAATAAATAATAAGCCAGAAAAAGCAACATTAGCTAAAAAAAGTCGATAATGTAGCAAATGGTGCTACTTTTAGGTTTTCATTATCAAATTACATCTTTTATAAAATTGCGTTTTCACGCCTTTCTATTGATTAATTTAAAAACAAAATTATTTCAATTAAATAGCTGATGTTTGTGTTGTGTGCTTGTCTGATGTGTGTATATTTGCGTGGAGTATGTGTATTTGTGTGGAGTATGTGTGTGTATGTGTGTGCGTGTGTGATGTGTGCATATTTGTTTGTTGTTGTGTATGTATGTGTGTGTTTTTTTCATTTTTGTGTGTGCGAGTGTGCGTATGGTGTGGTGTTATTATGTTTAAAAATCATGCTATTTTGTGCTGTTAATTTTTTTATGATCGAACTTATGTTTGCTACATGCTTGCATGATCAAGTGTTAAATCTCTTGTCCGTGTTCATCCTTACGTATATGAACTCTCGTTTATGCTCATGTTTGCTTAAATCTTTTTGTGCTCGTTTGTGTTTGTTTATGTTTATTTCAATGTTTAATATTTATATATTAAATACGATATTTCATTTTTTAGAGATCATATTTATAATTTATGATATCATTTTTTAAATATATGTAGTGCTATTTAGGTATTTTGGCATTTATGTATGTATGTAAGTATGTATGTATGCATGTATGTATGTACGTATGTATGTATCTATGTATGTATGCATGTTTGAACGTATGTATGTATGTATCTATGTATGTATGTATTGCAATGTAGCATACGGAACGATGCTAGCTAGAGTTTTTTGTTGCATATTTGTCAGCATCGTTGTTTTAAAAATTCTCAACCGTTCTTTAATTATATTTTGATATTACAAATAATAATGATAATTAACTTCAATTATTTGTATTTCTGTAATTTTCAATGAACTATAATTTTTCGGATCTGCAATGAATTATAATATCGTTATGAATTGTCATCGTTTCGTATTGAATTAAATCGTTTTAATTTTTCGGCGAAAGTTTTTGTTACTTTTATATATAAAAATGACAAAATACTGTTTAAGATTAGTCGATTAGCTAGTTAAATATTTAAATAAATAATTGTTTGAGCGGTTGAGCAATTTTTAAAAAGATTATTTAGCACAATATAGTTGTAGAAGATATTTTATAACCAAATATTTCTTTGAAATAAAAACACTGACAGGATCTATCTACACAATTCTTCAAATCTTCATTCGAAAGTGAGTCACAGAAGAGTTTGTGGTAGCGACAGAGTGGTTAATGACAACGTGTTTTGTTTCAACTGCTCAGTCCGGCCAATCAAGCAGAAGTATTGCTAGATCTCAAATTTATATTCCAGTGTAAATGTTAATTATATTTGTTGCATCGATGCATACTTGCAATATTAAAGTGTTTGATGTGTTTTGTAATTTTGAGTGTGTGTCTGCGTACGTGCGTGTGTGCGTGCGTGTGTGCGTGCGTGTGTCTGTGTGGTTATGTTTATGAATAATGGATATGCTGTTTGAAGCATAAACGTTATTTTACACGTTTAATTAGCTCGACTAATTGAGCGATGAGAATAAACAGATTGTTAGCTTTATATTCTTTCTCAGTGTTTTATCTATGCACACATGTTTGCATTTGTTTTTTCTGTCTCTCTCTCTCTCTCTCTCTCTCTCTCTCTGTTTGTTTTTTTCTTTTTCTTTCCCTGTGTGTGCGTGTGTGTGTCAGTGTGTGTGCGAGCGTGGTGCACAAATGTTTGTTTGCGACTGTGAGCGTCCCTAATGCTAAACAACTATAATGGTTTTATACTGCATTAATTTCAGTGACCTTGTTGCGGAGTTGTTCATTGATGGTGATTGATAACATTTGTTCTGCTGTTTTTGATTTTAAATGTATCACATTCGTGTTGCTATTTTGGTTATCTTTGTTTATTTATTTGTTGTTTCTGTCTAGGTTTGTGTTGGTGGGTTTATTTAGTTAATGCTGTTTTTAATGTCTTTGCGGAGTGCTGCCGACATGGTTCGCCTCCTCAGTTGATAATTTTCTTCATTTTTACGACCCGCTTGACTCTCTATAGGCAAATCATTCTCCAGTCAAATCACTCTCAAAATTTCTTCTTTCTTATCCAAGGTATTGTGCTTCTTTCTATAATCAGCTCATATATAGTTTATAACGTTTAAAACGTTTCTCATAATCTATGTAGATTGAGTTATGTGTGCGAGCGTATAGTTTATTTTTTGTTTATGTATGTATACAAACTGTGTAGGTTTGCGATTCGTATATATATATATATATATATATATATATATATATTCATTAGATTGTATGCGTATATGTATAACATAGGAAGTCTGCTTTTGAGATTAATCTTCATTCAACATCAATCATTGGTTGCATATATACAATGTATGCATGTATGTCAAATGCTGAATAAAATGTTAAATTAATCAAACTTCCATTAAAAAAACGAAACAAAATAATTTTTTTTCCAAAACAGTTTCAAAAACTAAAAATTCAATGAGTTTTGTGTCTAAAATCTTTTTTCAAATGACTCTTCATTGCCGATAAGACAGGGAAAATATTTTAATCAGGGCATAAGTGAACTTTAAATTTTATCTGAAGTATTCATTAGCGTCGTCTGGCTCCGTTAATTAAATTGAATCTATTAATATAACAATTATTTTTAAAAATCTTAAAATATTATTGATAATAAAATAAAATAAATTCAAAAAAATAATAATTCCAATAAAAAAAACAATCTATTTTTTAACTAAATAATTATTTTATTAAAATATATAATTGAAAAATTTTTAAATTTGAAAGAATGATAGAGTAGAAGAACGAGCAAAATGTCAGATGAATGCACGGAGTACCTCAGTTACATCACAAGTCTTCTCGATTTCTCTGGCTTCCAGCCTAACGATGACGGAGAAGACCGAGTGGAAACAACGACGATGACGTCATTGGATGGCGTGGATTCAGCTGCTGGCCTTTTGAGAGGACAATCATTTTTGAATGGCCTTCTAAACAGAAGTCATGTAGATTTTGAAATTAAAAATTTCTACAAAATCAACAATAGTTTTACTGTATACCAAGAACAACAACAGCAGCGGCAGCAACAACAGAGTCAGTTATTCAGGTACCAACATCAGCAGATGCTACATCACCAGAGACAGGTTCACTTGGTGAAAACAATTACCAACTCCATTTTTGTGCCAGTCATCGCGATGTTTGGCATTCTTGGTAACCTGCTCAACCTTCTGGTTCTCACTCGAAAGAATGTTTCTCGGATTTCTAGCATAGAACGTTCCTACAACACTGGATTGGTGGCTCTTGCGGCAGCCGATCTTGTCGTCTGCTTGCTCTACTCTATCAGGGCTATTGTCACGGTAGGCTGGTATTTTTTGTTGTTTAAGATGTGCTACTATTGTTGTTTAATGTAATGTTAGTTATACAGAGGTGGTTGTTTATTTTTCGGTATGTAAGTCCTTTTCATTGGTTTATTTGTGTTTTTGCGTCAGCGCCGATAGATCAGCAGATAGGTCATATAAAATTTATTATCTAATGCACTACCATTAAGTGGATAGAATCACAAAAAATATTTTATACTAAGCGCTAAAATTTTTCAGTAACTTTAAAAAATAGACCTCATAAATTTAATCCTATCACTTATATTTCATTTAATTTCAACTCTCACATTTTGCGTCAGATGGAGAAAGTTTGGGGCCCGCAGGAATCTCACTTTCCCGCCTACATCTCTGCCTACGCCGAACCTCTGATCAACGTGGCAATTTTCTCAAGTACGTGGATCACAACGGCTGTGGCTCTCAGTAGGTACGTGGCCATCTGCTGGCCACTTCACGTGCGATTGTTTGTGAGGCTACGCTGCGTGAGGGCCTGTGTGGTCGTCATTGTTCTGCTGGCCTTCTGCGTCAACGTGCCAAAGTTTTTGAGTTACCAAGTTATTACTATGCCATGTAGGAGCCTGATGGGAAGTGGAGAGCAAGTTAATGCGAGTGGTGAAAATAAGTTGTGGCATGAAAATGACGATGAAGAAAGGATGAAAAATTATTTGGATGAGATGCTGGGTAGAGGTGGAGAAGAAGTGAACCGAACGGCAAGCAGCATCGACTTGTTCCTAATTGAATCACCATCGGATAAAATTGATGGCAGCAGAAGTTCGCAGGAGGGTTCTAGGTGGAGGCGACTCAACTTGAACGAGCAACACAGTTTTATTTACGACAATTACGACTACTTGGATAACGAAAATGTTTCCAAATACAATGCATACGGTGATAATTTCAATACAAATAAAAAATTCATTAATAATGAAAACATTGCTACTAAAGACTATCATTTTAAAAGTAACTCTCTCCAACGCAAACGTATCATCTACAACAACAGTTTCCGCAATAATGACGACATTAAAGTTAAGAATTTCAACCGCGTCACAAATGAACCTCAACTAAGAGTCTTCCCAAAGCACATAACAGAAAAATGTGAATGTTATTTTGCTCGCAAGCAGCCAATGGAGCACATCTTGAACGAACACGGCAGCAAGCAGGCTTACAGTATCTTCACCATCACAACGACGACACTCATTCCGCTGGCGATCATGATCTTCTGTAACGTTTGTTTCATCAAAGCACTGCGTCAGTCGTTCGCCATGCAACGCGCCATACGCAACACGCAAATGGAAAGCACAAATTATTACAGCGCACGTGAAAGAACGCCGACAAGCAAAAGTGCATTTCGTGCAAGTGTCAGAAGTTTGCACGAAAATTTGCGTGGAAGGAATAATTCGTGTAATAAAAAACTGATTTTCAGCGGTCGAAATGTTTTTGCGTCGGATGACAAATTTGAACGTGATACCATGAGCGTGCGCGCTGACGTCACAGAATTAAAACAAGTGAAAAATAAAAATTCTGACGTCAGCCAAGATGACGATGACGACGCTTTTGACGGGAGGGACAAAAAAATGGTGGTCGGCAAGAGGGACCGCGGTAACGTTGAAAGGAATAAAAATGACGAGAACTGCAGGAACGAAGTTAATTCAGTTGATAAGAATGAGTGTACGTCAGATGGAAGAGGAATGATGTTTTGCGCTCCCATCAGCGACAACAAAAATCTTTTTAAGAAAAACAACAAAGACAACAGCAACATCAATAAATATCCGTTCGACCAGCAGAGCAAGTGTGATGACTTTGAAATGATTGATTTGAAGGACACGCCCACTCAAACAAAAGACAGCTCACATAACGATCATTTTACCAAAAATCAAAAAAAATTTCAACAACGACAAAATTCTGATGAACAAAAACAATCACTTCAGACATATTTGTCTCTAAAAACAATTCAAAAATGTCAGCCAGCACAACAACAACAACTACAACAACAACAACATGACAACAGCAACAACAACATGCGCAGGCATTATTCTCGCATTGAGCCATCTCCAATATCGAAAGTTCCTCAAGAGAATAAAATTACTGGACAGTGCATGAAGACACTAACAACACCAACAAAAAAAACTTCAACATCAACAAAAACAACGTCAACATGGAAACAATCAACGGACGACAACTACATTACTCCAACTTTGATCACATTAATTATTTCACTGATTCTTCTCGTTCTACCATCTGATATTCTCAATTTTGTTCAGGTTACCCACTACCCGATAATTTTGTTTCGTTTTGTCTCATACTGTTTTGTTGTTTTGTATTTTTTGTTGTATTTTTTGTTGCATATTTCTGAATAGTTTCTATTGTTAATACTGTTTTCCTTTGAAAAAAATTTCTCACGTAAGAAATTTCTTACTTAAGAAGAAAATAAAAAATTAATTGATCGCTGCAATTTAATTTTTTTATCACATATATCTCATATAAAAATACAAATAGATTAGAAAAATAAGCAGTTGTAAAGCCGTTTTGTAAGCTTTTATTGCTTATATAAATACTGTTGTTACGTCAAACCAATGCATTAAAGAGTGAATTGTTGTTGCTACGTCAAACCAATGCATTGAAGAATGAATTGTTGTTGTCGTTTTGTTGTTGCTTTCGTTTCTGTTTTTTGTTGTTTCAGAAATTTGTATTTTATTGTTTTTGTAGTTGTTGTTCATTGTTATGATTATTGTTAGGCCATTAATCTAACAGGGGTGATGCTGTTTGTAGTTTATTATTTTTTATCGCAGCATCAAGTTCGACATGGAACGGAGTTGTTTGTTACTTACGAATGAATGAAGACTGTTATAAAGATTTTTTTATATAAAGCAATGCTTTTTATTCTTTATTACGCGTTTCTGACAAGCGTACAACAGACTGTTATCTATCAAATTTTTTCAATTAGTTTTCTATTTTTTTATTTCCCACCCACCATAATGTATGTTCTACATGTACAATAATAGTTTCATTTACTCATTTTTCACGCGTTTTGAAAGATAAATACAGGGTAAAGATCGCATCGAAGAACACACACACATTTTCACACACACAAACACCAAGAAACTAACACACAAACACACACACAAATACACAATCTGTCATTAATACGATGGCAGACTGGTCCAAATACGATCTGTTGATAGAAGAAGAACGAGTCGCAGGGTTTGCTCAATCAATTTGTTAATCTTTCTTTATACCAAAATATGTCAGTGCAAGTTATAACCACTACAAAAAAAATTTGTTTAAAAATTACAACGTAAGTGAAAATATTTTTTGACAAATTTAAAATTGACCGAAAAAAATCGAAAATCGGTTTGAATTTTTGTGAAATGAAACAGAGGCCTAAACGTAATGATGTTGCAGGATAACTTCTGAATGAAAGGAACAAAAATGACAAAATTCAAATTAAAAACATCCACAGAATACTTCAAAAAAAATTTAAATGAAAAACTTTGAAAATCATTGCTAGAAACATATTAACAAAAATTAAAACAAAATGCAAAACAGTCATAATTGCATTTGGCAAGTTTGTAGTTACTTTTAAATGCTTTCATCACATACAAACATACATACATATATACATACATACAACATAAATACATACATGCATATATACATACATACATACAACATACATACATACATGCATATATACATATATACATACATACATATATACATGTGTGTGTTTGCATATATATATAATAGCTGTGAATCGATTAAAGTCTCAATTCTACTTTAATTTTCCAGCTGTCCTTTTTGTGAAATTGAAGCCGTTCAAAGTTTAAACTTTATGGTCACACAATTTTTTTAAGAAACACCGGAAAAGAATGAAGCATTAGAAAAATAATTTTGTGAAAATAAAAATACTTAGGAGTTGTTTCCAAAGTATTATTTTCATGTTATTTTTTCATTTGGTTTCGAAGTACTCCAACATATCTACATAGTAGAATGAAACGGTTAAGTACTGATGTACCGAAAAGTAACACAGAACTATAAGTACAACAGTACCGGTCAGTTCCATTTCAGTACTCCTGTATAAAAATGAAAAGTAGTGGTGTTGTTTGTTTGTTGGTTTGATTCTTTGAATTATTCAATACAATTGTGTCAAAGTTTTTGAGTTAGTTGTGCTTTTCGCTGAGATGCAAAAGTTTCAGGTGACGATGACGATGATGGTGACGATGACGATGATGATGACGACGATGATGATGGGGGCGATGATGACAACAAACTAACAGCGGGTTTAAATGGTCGTGAATTAACACCATCACACACATTGCATGTGATGGGCAAGAATCTTTTTGCATTTGAAACCTATCAGTGCAACATGAGTGCCAGGCACCCTAACCACAACACTAGCGTGACGCTCATTGTTATTGGTGCTAGCTGAGAATGACATGGTCGATAGCTACGTAGATGTTGAAAAGCACGACAGACAGAATGTGGAAGAGTCAGACAAACTAATATCAAATAAACGGTGCAATTGAGAGAGATAACATCAGAAGCTTCGATGACAATGTGTGTGTGTGTAATATTTGCAAATACCTCTTATTGTCCTTCGAAAGTGGTCGCGATTTTGTGTCGTTCGTTATTTGTGGTTGCTCGGTTGCGTTTTTGTGGTGGTGACGTTGTGTTATTGTCTGTGTATTGAAATTCTGTTACTAGTATTTGTTGTTTAGGCGTTGTCTGATGTCTAATCTATTTTTTTGTCCTCTGTACTGTCCTTGAATTGGGTTTTGCTGCATTTTCAGATGTAAAAAATTTGATGGAGTCATTCAATGTAATAATAAATGTCAGGCAGCAGAAAGGCATTCAAAAATCACTAACAGCACCCTGAATGGGCAGTGGAAGAATGACATATGTATGAACGCCTACTTGATTAATGATATGCTACACTGGGCCAGAAGACCATTTATATTATCTTTGAAATATAGATCTGTAGTGTTGTATCTCTTGGACTCTACTAAAATGCTTTGGTTTGCCACTATTAGCTATTAAATGTAACGCAGATATGATAGAATTTTCAGAAATTTTCGATAGAAATTGAGTTGAATTTTTTTTGGGTCAACTTATTTTTTTCCATGCCGCCATTTTTGTTATATATTTCTTTCGACAAAAACTAACTTGTAGGGAGAATTTTTTGAATCACCGAAGCATTTTACTAAGTTAAAAAGTTTTATATTTCAATTCTAAATTTCAATTGGAAACTTTTATTTCAAGTGCAAACAATCGTCTTTATCTGCTTACAAACGATAAATTTTTCATTTTTAAATTTTCTTCCAATGAAATATAAATTTATACATACTTGCGTATACATATTTGGTGAATGTTAGAGCATTCCAGTTTTCAATTTCTCCATTGTATCAGTTGTTATTTGCATTCAAATTGTCCAATTTAAAAGTTAATGTCAGCGTTGTTAATGCAATAATATTGATGTAATAATGGTGAGGTTTAAAATGGAAATAAAATCTGCTCTTCAATTTTTCAAAGGGTTTTTCAATGTTAATGTATTTTGTTAACGGTAATGATGCCAGTTTTACCATCGAGTTAGCTCAGTCGGTAGATAGGCCATGACTCGCGCTGCTATTACGTGATGGCATGGTTCGAATACATGTCTATCCGAAAGTCACAGACCATCATAAGGGTATGATGCGGTGCTTGCGCGTGATGTGTATGGGCGTCATGTGGTGTGGCGGGGATAGTACAGCCTTGTTTGTTGTAGCGCGAAAGTTTGATTATAAGGTTAGTATGAATGCGTTTTTAAACAGCTGCGTTATAAAGAATGAAAAAATTTTATGAAAATTTTTAATTTTAATATTGCTCTCAAATTTTTAAATATAAATATAAATATATATATATATATATATATATATATATATATATATATATATATATATATATTGTATAACTATATATTTTTATGTTTATGTCGATATATAAGTTTTGCTTATAAAAAGACAGATCGTACGTTCTTTTGTTTCTATTTGTTTGGCGAGTCATCCATCTGAAGAGATTCAGTTATTTTGATGGTTTTCATCATCTGTTCTCCAAAAAACTCCATATAAAAAACTTTATAATAAAACTATTGATACGCCTTATAATTTATTTGGTAGTATCTTTTTCCTTTTCTAAATCGGGGTTTTAATTTTGTTTTTTTTTTCTGGCACCACCTGCCAGTAGAAAATAAGTTGAAACAATTTTTTTTTATAGTGAATGAGGTCGGGGTGACCTAGATTTTTTTGGTCCATATATGTTGTTTTTGTTTGCCTACATTTTTTCATTCATCATTCTAGTTATATGGTCCGGCTTATGAATGTCTTTACCGTTGTGAAAAATTTTTACCTTTAAAGATTTGATGAAAATGAGGTATTGATTTAATTTGCTTCTTGATAGTTTTCTAGTTTTTATTCAAGGTTTAGTAATTGCTAATGATTAAAATTAAATATCTCCACTGACGTGTTTAGCTTTAATGTTTGCCAATGTTGTTCATGTATCCAGGTCGGAAAATTAATAATGTCCACAAGTGCCATGGTAGATTAGAGTAAAGAATAATTTGATTAGTGAGTCAAAATTAATAAATAAAACGTGTTTCTAAATTCTAAATCGCTTCTAATTAACATTTTTTACACATTCAAAAAATTGTCATTTTCGTGTAAAAATTTATGAATGGACAAAACTCATGAAACATACACAGACAGACACAGACACACACACATGCATGGAGAGAAAGAGAAAGAGAGAGAGAGAGAAAGAGAGAGAGAGAGACACTCACGCATATCATGGCTAATGGCGTAAAGAAAAAACAAAATGAAAAATCCAAGTTAGTTTATAAACGACAGACAACATCCATTAAATAAAGACACATATGTCGTAGAAGTGATCAATTTTCTTTCTTTTTTTAACTTTTACAAATCAAATACGAGGAAAAACTAATTTGTTTTGTGATGCTGCGTTTTATAATACTAGATAGAATTGAAATCAAATGTTCGTGAAATCTGTGGTCTTGGCATGGCAATAAGATTACAAGAATATTAGGTTTATACAACAATTTTAGCACCTTAAGATATTGAATACATTAGCTTATTGAACATATGTTGCAATTTCATTTAATATAAAATATGTATGTATTTTTATTTGTGTGTGCTTGTGTGTGTGTATGTGTGTGTGTGTGTGTGTGTGTGTGTCAATGCGCGCGCGCGTGTGTATGATGTGATGTGTGTTTTTGCGTATGTGTTGCGTGTTTGTGTGTGTGCGTACATTAGGTCTAAAAATATTTCTTTGAGATTTAATTGCCCGTGTAGAGTAGATATTCTGGTTTCTTCTTGGAAACTGTAAATTAATATCGGTGAGAGAAAATGTGCAAGTGGATGGAGCAAAAGGTTTTTTTTATCTCCAAGTTAAATATTTCTAAGAGATTTTTTTGAAAATTTTCAAATACCAAATGCCCTGACCATTCATTAAATTTTTTCGTTAAATAAAAATAAAAGTCCACTTTTTCCAATTTCTGATTTGTATAACCGAAGATGAAACATCTATGAATTATGTGTGTGTAAGTAGTGTGGTATGTGTATGTATATGTGTAGTGTGTGTTTAATGTGTGTGTGTGTGGTGTGTGGTTAGTGTAGTGTGTGTGTGTGTGTGTGTTACACACAAAAAGCGCAATTACCGCAAACTTTTACGCAAAGTTATTACGGCACCTTTTACGTAAACCTAATTACCCAAATCTCCTACCAAAGCCTGCCCACACAGATTATTAATTTCATCTTGGGTTCGTAGCAAAAGTATACTCCTTTATTTGTTACGCTGTACTTTTTATAAAATATTTAACTCATTCACTTTGTTGATTTGTATGCACTTGAGAAATAAAATCCAACTTTGTTAGTGTGCCTGGTTAATGAATAAAACATTGATGGTTCTCAATGCTGCATTTTTTTATGAAAAAAACAAGACCAAAAATTATGGAAAGACAAATAAAAATGAAAGTGAAAGTTAAGTGAATTGACAAAAGTTAAGTGAATTGACATTAACTGACATTGCTTGGCAACGGTAATTAATGGATGTTCACACACACGGACAGACAGACAGACTGGCAGACAGACAGATTAAGAGTGAGACAAATAGAGAGAGTGATAGAGGAGAACATTATTTGTTTGTATATCACAAGAGAGCCTACGCGTCTGTCAACGTCTCGAAATTTAATTAATGCCCCCCTTTTCAAAGTTTTAAATGATTTTTTAAAGTTTCCAATTAAAAATTAGCAGTCGCGTAATATTTTATATAAATATATTGGATGTTGTTGTACTCATAAAAAATGTTCACAACTTGCTTAAAAAAGTAATTTTAAAACGTTCCTAAAAAAGTGTTTACATGAACGTAAACTCACATACACACACACATATATATTTATACATACACACACATATATTTTTACATACACAAACACACTCACGCACACATACATACATACATACATACATACATACATACATACATACATACATACATACATACATACATACATACATACATACATACATACATACTCTTACATACGGACAAAACACTTAATCAATTTTCTTGGTATAGCCTTAGAGGATTTAAAAGGAAATTTTTCTATTGAGAACATTTGATGAGCTAACTTACGAACATAAACGTACGAAACACGCCCGTACGCATACACACGCACAAGTGCAAGCACACGTGTGCAGTCAACTGCTTACAAGCTTTTCATGCACACTTTTTAATTATTTGTTTATTTGTCTATTCTTTTATTTTTTTGTTTATTAAATAGTTTTGTTTTATTTTATTCATATACACATACAAGCGCACATCCACACACGCGCGCGCGCACACACATATACATACACACACATACACACGCCACACCATACTCTGTATCAATGAGGAAAACAATGGGACGCCAATTTGTAAAGGAATTTGTTGAATTAAACTTTAGGCGAGAAAATATTTTTTGCAAGTAATTGGTAGCAACGGATGACCACCCATCTGTATTCCTATTAATTCTATTAGAATTTCAGAAAAGTCTTACTTACAAAAACACCTACATACAAACATTTTAAAATACAAACATGCAGACACATTCACACGCACACAAACAAACATACCATGACAACGAGTTTTTTGTTGTAAGCCGCAAAAGAGTAGAAAATGTCTGGTGTGTATTATATACATGTGTCTCATGTGCCACATAACACATTGTGTGGGTGTGTATGTTGTACATGTTGTTCTTGTGTGTGTTATGTGGGTGTGTGTGTGTTGTACATATGCCTCTTGTGTGTGTTGTGTGGGTGTGTGTGTGTTGTACATGTGTCTCTTGTGTGTGTTGTGTGGATTTGTGTGTTGTACATGTGTCTCTTGTGTGTGTTGTGTGGATGTGTGTGTTGTACATGTGTCTCTTGTGTGTGTTGTGTGGATGTGTGTGTTGTACATGTGCCTCTTGTGTGTGTTGTGTGGATGTGTGTGTTGTACATGTGCCTCTTGTGTGTGTTGTGTGGATGTGTGTGTTGTACATGTGCCTCTTATGTGTGTTGTGTGAGTGTGTGTGTAGATAATGTACGATGCAAGTGATGTGTCAAACTCCAATCCCGGTCCAACCCTCATTAATCTGTTAACAAAAACATGGCGCGCGCTTAACTTCGGCGTTAGTCTTTTCCATTAATAATCTTGGTCTTGCTCTTTCTTTCGGGCTTTTCCGTCCAAGAGACGTCCTACTCTGAACTTTTTTTTATACTTTTTACAGTGAAACTTATAAAAATTGTTAAACAGTGAATGGGAAATCTAATTATTTAATTATTTATTTTTATATATAAGTACTGATAAACAGAGATTCATTATGTTTCCGGATACCACATACACACACCCACCACAAACACACACACACACCACACACAAGAACACACACACACAAACAAACATATTTGTATAAATAAATTTTTATAAACAAGACAGCAGAAATAACAACAAGAGTAGGAACAAACAAAACCACAGAAACCCAGATTTGGTCATAAATAAAAGTTAACATGGCATATATATTTGCAGAGAAGCGGATGCATTATGGGATTTGGGAAATAATTCATATGATCTCAATGTCCTCAATGTACATTCCTTAGTACACTAAAGTACAATATAGTACGCTTTAACTAAAGTACAATTAGTACAGTTGTTTGTAGTACATTTATAGTAGGTACTCAAGAATACATTTACAGTTACAGCATTCCTGTGCTTTCTTTAAAATTACATGCCTCTTGTTCTGTATCTACATAGCTCCTAGTCTGAATAAGATTGGAAAATTTGTTAACACGCATGCACGTACACAAACACACACACACATGCACGTGATATTATTAATATTATTTACTGAATTGTATAGCAACAGTCAATGTTACAGTAGTCACCATTTGAATGGATCAGCGTATTCTTTCATGTTTTCTATCTATTCATAAATCTATTTATCCATAAATCTATCCATCTTTGAATCTATCTATCCACATAATTATATTTTCATTTATCGATCAATCATCATTCTTCATTCCATCCATTCATCCTTGCTCTCATTCATCAACCAACCTACTCGCGTATCCATCCACCCATCCATCCAACCATCCATCCATCCATCCATCCATCCATCCATCCATCCATCCATCCATCCATCCATCCATCCATCCATCCATCCATCCATCCATCCATCCATCCATCCATCCATCCATCCATCCATCCATCCATCCATCCATCCATCCATCCATCCATCCATCCATCCATCCATCCATCCATCCATCCATCCATCCATCCATCCATCCATCCATCCATCCATCCATCCATCCATCCATCCATCCATCCATCCATCCATCCATCCATCCATCCATCCATCCATCCATCCATCCATCCATCCATCCATCCATCCATCCATCCGTCGTTCCTTTTTTTTCTTCCTCCATCCATTCATCTACCCAATCCAGTCCTCTGGCCACCTGACCAATCATGCACCCACTCGTTCATCCGTCTCTATCAATCATCTCCAACATCAAAGAACATTTTTAAAAAGAGCGATAATTTAATTTGCCGCAAAAAATGAAAAAAGACACGAAAACAAAGAAATCAAAAAAAAATTTTTTTTTCTTTGTCATCTTGTGTTTGGCGTGCTTTGCTGTATGCTACGCTACATCCCACGTTCAACATTATTCTTCATTTTCTTTCATTCACGCTCTTTTTTTTACTCTGTTCATTTGTTTATTTGTTTAATTTTTATGATTTTTTTTTTATTTTTTGATTTGTTCGTTTGTTTGTTTGTAATATTTTTCTGCCGTCTTATCGAGCCTTGCACGCTTTAAAGATTTGTAGATTGTAAGATGATAGAGATAGAGAGAAAGAGAGGAGAGAGAGAATGCAAAAGATAGAGAGAGAGAGAGACAAATAAAAGAGAAAAATTAGAGAAAAAAACGAAAAGCGAAGAAAAAGAGATGAAAAAAAGTAAAAAAATAATAAAATATGAAGATTGAACGAAAAACGTAGTTAATAAAAACTGTCGCAGATAGAAAAGCGATAGATAAAAAGATAACGGTGAGTAAAATAAGAGAGTGAGAAGAGAGGGTGACTGAGAAGAGAGATAGTGGGTGAGAAGAAAGGGTGACTGAGAAGAGAGATATTTAGGAAGAAGAGAGAGTTACTGAGAAGAGAGATTGTGGGGGGGGGGAGAAATCAAGATGGAGCGGATTGGTTTGTTTGATAGCAAGAGAAGAGAAATTATGGGATTATGCAAGAAGGTGTCAAAGAAATCATCCGAAGTCAGATGATGGAGATGCTGCTACTGTAGCTGCTGCAGATTAAGTTGACTAGGGCATGCTAGCATGCGATGAGGATGGTGATGAAGATGAAGTTGGTGATGATGATTAATGATGATTATGACGATGACAACGAGGACGATGGTGGCGATAAGAATGAACTGATGATTACGATGATGATGAAGATGGCTACTATGATGATTATCGTCAAAAAATTTGTGACATGATGATGACATTACGATAGCGATGATGATGATGATGATGATGATAATGATGATGATGATGATGATGATAATGGTTACAGTAATATTAAATTATAATAAATTAGAATTAGATTATAATAAAAATAATAATAAAAATAATTATTATTTCGTCTTTACACTAATGATGCTGCATTTGTATAAATGGAGCTTATTCATCTCAAATATCGATCTTCAATCTCATAGTTCAATTCTTTTGAGTTTGCGTAAACCAGTATAATTTTCGCCATTCTGGGAATAAAGTATTTAAATTATTTTTATTTATTATGCTTTTTATAATTAGGCTTATTTATGATTTTATAATTAGTTTTTATAAATTTATTATGATTGTAATAATAATTTTCAAGGTATGTTATGTATTTTAATCATTCCGTTAGCAGAAGTGTTTGATTTCACATTACACAAATTTTTTCTATAGAGATGACAACATTATCAGTTGGTTGAAATATACTAACTAATTCGTTGTAATCATGGATTAATAAAGTTGTAATTTAATGTAAGTATGCAGTAATCTATTGTTTTTGTAAAAAAATTAGTTAGGATTAAGACTAGTATTTTCTGTAAATACGTAATAACTTATTGTAATTAGGAGATAGTTTTTTGTAATCAAGCAGTATTGCGTAACAAATTGTTGTGGTTATGTAGTAATTAGATTCAATTATGTGTTAATTTTTTGGTAATTACACAGTGGCAATTTGTAGTGGCGTGTAGTAATTAGGTGGTTAACATGTAGTTGTTGTTGCTGCTGCTGCTGCTGCTTCTGCCGTGTTTTAGTAGATAAGTCGTAGTGGGATTGCTTATTTGGCATCGGCTTTGCGGTTTTCGTGGCTCTTGTGATTGCTGTTGTGGTTGTTGTTGTGGCTGTTTTGTTTGTTGTTGTGGCTGTTGTGGTTGTTGTTGTGGCTGTTTTGGTTGTTCTTGTGGCTGCTGTGACTGTTGTGGCTGCTTTTGTGGCTGCTGTTGTGGTCGTTGTAGTTGTTATGGTTATAGCTGCCGGCGTGATTGATGCCAGTATTAACATAAAGTTATTGTTATTCAGTGCCGGCGAGATGCACTGATCCAACCAATGAATTTGGCAACGTAGATAAACGAAATTAAACGAACATTATTCTACGACAGATAGAACAACAAACACTGTATAACCCGAAATAATACTGTTTATTTTGTTATAAACACACATAAACATACATAACATAAATAGAATAAACACTGCGTATAAATGCATATACATAGAAACGAACACAGACAAATCGAATGCATGGTGATATTTAACTAATGTTAATAGTTGCACCACTCATAACATGAACACGTAACTCACATTAATGCTATTAAACAAAATAAAACATAAGCAAACTTCTCCAAACAAACAAACAAACAAACAAGATGAAAAATAGTATGAAAAATAATACACGATGTTTTTGCAACAAGTACACTAACGCGAGGGCTGATGATTAATTCGCAATCAATTATCCAAGAGGGCAAAAAAGTCAAAATTTTTCTCTTTTTTTCCAGGAAAAGACCTTTTTTTTATAAAAAAAACAACTATTGTTAATTTGCTCTTTGAATTTAGAATTTTTTTTCTGTGAACATTGGAACAAAAATCGGAAAAAAAATTTTGTCCTAGAGAAATGTTTTAATGTATTTTTCGTTGTCAGTTTTCAAAACTGTCGTTGTTTTGGGAGCAATTTAGAATTTTTTTAGTGAAATAGAAAACTGATGAAAATCAGCAAAAGACATTTGTAAAATGCAAAAAAATATTTTCTCATTTTCATAAAATTTTCGCTAAAAATATTCAATGAATGAATTTGATAAAAATAAATTGAATAAACCAGACCGATATATTGAATTTTTCTCCACACCACAGAACCACGTGATGGCGACAAGCCACCCGACCACCTACTACCAGCTGCGAATAGCAGTCGACGTCACAAACTGCTTTCATCTGCTCAACTTCAGCGTCAACGTCATCCTCTACAGCATCATCAACGTCAAATTTAGGAGAACAATCAAGAAATTATTCTTCAGCAGGTGCTGCAATAGCAGGTCGCTCACACGTGAAGCTCATTCAGCAGCTTTCACCGCGGCTCCCCTCACTGCAACCACAGTCACTGCAACCGCTTCTAGTACTATTAATGGATGCAAACATCTAACGAGGAGGTGCGATAATGCTCGTCTGAGAGGCGATGGAGATGATGCACAGAGAAGGAATTTCGGTGGTCTTGGAAGCTGCCTCAGCTGCGGCTGCTTCGGATTTTCCATCCGCGCTTGCGTCAGATAGTTTTGTTGCTAGATTCAATCGACTGTTTTGTAAGTTTTTCGTGCTTGATTTAAAAAAATATATATTAAAATAAATGTTCACATCTCGCTAAGTTTTACATTATAAAATCAAGGTTGAAGTTATTTTGAAAAATTGTTTCCTACTATATTCTATCCTTGCGAAATTTTCCATCATATAAAAAATTACGAGATTTTAATATTTAAATTACAGCAATTCATTTACTTATTCAAGTTTTTTACTTATATGATTGATATTCATACTTTTGTTCGTTCAACTGTTCGTCAGGTGATGACGGACATTACCACTGAAATGTAAAATAATGATTTTAGTGATGACGACGACGACAACGACAATGATGGTCTCACTGAGGATGATGATGATGATGATGAGGAGGAGGAGGAGGAGGAGGAGGAGTATGAAGATGATAATGTCAAAAATTGATATTGTCTTGCGCTTGTCACAATTTTCTTTCGGGGAAAGAAAAAAATCTACATCCGTAAACAACACCGAGATGATGAAGTTGAAACAAAATAATACTACTTCTTCTACTACCATCACCACTACTACTGCAGCTACTACTACGACAACTACTACTACTACTACTACTACAACCACTAATACTACTACCATTATTGTACTACAACTACTACGATAACTACTACTACTACTACTACTAATAATAATAATAATAATAATTATAATAATAATAATAATACAACCGCTACTGTTGTTGCTGCTGCTACTGGTTCCAGCAATGATAATGACGATAATATACTTCAAGAACAATATGACGGTGATCGTCTTCTTTATAATAATAAAAATAATTGTAATAATAATAATAATAATAATGTTAATAAAAAGAATAATAATAACAATATCGAGATGGTGATGATGGTGATAATGATGGATAGCTTACAAAGCTGTTGTTAATTGAATAGCCGGCAAATTAATTAAGTGGAGAATATCACTTAGAAGAACGTCGTTGGCCTAAAAAAAATCTCTCAAGCTTCACGTAAGACGGCTGTGTAAGAAAATTTTTGTATTTCTTAATTGTTTTGGTATGTTTTGTACAAAAATTTTTGTATTTCTTGATGGTTTTGGTATGTTTTGTACAAAATTTTTTGTATTTCTTGATGTACTTGGTATGCTGTGTACGAAAATTTTGGTATTTCTTAGTGGTTTTAGTATGTTTTGGTTATGGTTTGTATTTTTTCGTGTTATAATTTTTATGATATTCTTTTGTTTTTTATAATATTAGATTTGATTAGTACCGGTATTTGGTGCATTTTGTATGATTTGGTAGTTTTTTGTAAAATTTATTAGGGAATTTGGGTTAGTATTAATCTTTTTGTATAAGTTATTTTTTTTGTCTTGTTTGGTTATTGCTAGGAATACTTTTTCATCATCGTTATTGTTATCACAAAACATTTTATCATAATTTAATTTTTCTTTTATTTTCATTTTCTTACTAGCACCTCATTACCTCTAACGATATACATACAAGTAACGTACCTTCATCATTAGAACATCGCAATAGTCATTCAATTTAATATCTTGTTCAAAATTTTTAAAAAATTTTTGATTGTTTTGTTTAAGCAAGGAGTGGTAGGTGATCATTCACTTATACACGTTTAATTTTGTTTGCTTTATTTTCTTCGTAATTTGACAAACTCAAATGGCGTGTGTATAAAAACATAAATATGCGTGTGTGTATGTGTATGCGTGTTTATATCGGTGTGTGTGTATTTGTGTGTGTTTGTGTGCATGATATTAATGATAGTACGTAATTATTTTCCTGTAGTTTTTTAAAAGGTAGAGTTTGTTATAATATTTAACTTTAATGAGATTTCAAAGTAGCACATCAATACACGAGCTTGAAGTTTAATGACGGAAAGAAGATATTCTTAGCGATGAAAACTCGAAACACACACACAAACACACACACGCACATACGCATACACACGTACACACATGTTTTTAAATATTATACATATGTATATATAATATATACAAACATACATGTGTATGTACATCAATAGATATGACAATTTGCATTACAAAAAACTGTATTGATTTTATTAATATATGCATTGAAAGTACATAAAAAATATAGATTATGATATCCAACTCTCCTTCTAGATGCTGGATTGTATTGACGTATTTGCCTAATTACTATAAACATGCTAATAAAGGAATGATGACGACGAAGACAAAATTAATAATAATAATAATAACAGTAATTTATTTTATTAATAATATAGTGATATTATTATTTTATTATTTCTTTTACTATTTGCGTGATTTTGTCTTGGCTTTTTTTACCAGTCTTTGTGAATAGTTAAGTTATTCTGTGGTATATCTCTACATCTTTCTATACATCTATACCATAAGAACATAAGTAACATAACATATACACTCACACACACACAAACACCCACACATACAAACACAATCACAGATACATACACATATATATATATATAATGTACATATTAATCTTCTAGTCTTTTCATTTGCTTATGTATAGTATGTTGTATGTATCATTGTGTTTGTATGTGTAATAAAATTATATACATAAATAAATTGTGTTTATGCTGTACGTATTGAGGTGTGTGCGTGTGTATGTGTACGTGTTTGTATATTGCTATTTGTCTATTTAGCATGTAATTAAACTTTTTATCGTGCGAACGAAATTTTAATTTTTACGTTCCAAGGTTGGCATAGCACATGGGTTTTTATATGCATGCATGCGTTTATGTAGGTTCCAACGCGTAAGTATACACGTTTGTGTGTGTGCGTGTGTGCGTGCGCGCGTGTGTGTGTGTTTGTCGTCTGCATGTGTGTGTGTGTTGTGTGTGTGTGTGTGTCGTCGGGACCTTGGGGAGTTTTTCGCAACTGCTGTCTAGAAAGAAGAGAAATGAACGAATGGTTGAATGAATGTATGGTTGGATGGATGAGTAGAATGGGGAATGAATTAATAAATGGATGGATGGATGGTTGAATAAATGGATGGATAAATTAATGAATGTATGGAGGTGTCAAAGGATGAACTGATGGATGAGGGGATGGATGGGCAATCTGTTGGATGAAAGAATGAACAAATGAGCAAACAAGAATAATTTAATGAATAAACAAATTAATAAACAAAGTCGTAATGGTAGCGGCACCACTGACTTCCGATCTAAATAAATCATCAGCTGAACCTCCTTCCATACATCCATAATCATTGTAATGATATGATCGTGATGCCTTTGTGTCAGGCGATGTTTATATTCATGTACGATGAAGTTTATTATTGTTGTTGCTAGTGCCTGTTGTGCGCTGGCAGATGATGACATCTTTAGAAATGACGATGATGTGATGATGAAGAAGATGATGACGGCGATGATGAGGATGCTAATGATTACGATGACAAAATTTCAGCAACTGAGTTTTAAGTAGATATTGTTATTAATACTTTATACATTGCCGCAATCTTTTTGCAAAAAAGTATCTAGTAACACAATGTGTTTCTGTGTATGTGCAAGAGAATGTTTGTATATGTGTGTGATTGCGTGTGTGTTTGTGAGTGTGTATATATGTATGTGTGTGTTTGTGTATGTGTCTTTGTGTCTTTCTTTCTGTTGTTTGAATATTGTTTATAGACGCGTAACACAAAGTTCTTTCTAAAAATCTTAATGTAAAATGTACCGTGAAATTGAACAGATTTTTAAAAAATTGCTTTATTTTTATCAGATTCCGAAAATTCCGATTCTGATTTTTGTACTTGAAACAACATGGTTAGCAGCAAAACATTAGCAAATTGTTTGTGTTTGAATGTGTGTGTGTGTATGTGTATGTATGCGTGTGTTTTTTTGTATGTATAGGTTCGTGTGTTTGTTGGTGAAAACACAGCATCATTCCAGTTCATCTAAACTATCTTCTAATTCAAACAACGTTTTAATTTCAATGTGTAAAATTTTTCTAATGGACATTTGTTTGAATTAAAGAGAAAAAATTTTTGTTTCTTTTTCTCGAAAGTAAAAAATGCATAAATGTAGTCATGAAATTAAAAAGTTAGAAGGACTTTACGCCCATAAATATTAAACTCTCTCACACGAACATTCTCTGATGTAAATTAAATTAAAATATTTGTAGAATTTTAAAAAATGCTCAAGAAATGGTGATCATCATTAATCAGATCACGTCAATAACAGGAATGGTATGATAGTTGCAGAGTTACGAGACTTTCAAACCCTTCCAGTCGCCCGCGTTTTTTCGCATTTGACTTGAAATAAATTTTTTCCCAAAATGAACATTAATCAAGTTGTCCGTCAGATATTTTAAGCTCTGCGGAAATACTTGAATCGTTAAATCTTAAAAATATAAGAAAAAATGAATAATTATATTTTGTTAGTACAAAAAATAGGCAAACGACCATCAATCTTTTCAATCTATCAATCTTTTCAAGTTATCTACACGTGAATCAATAATATATGAGTTAGTTATTGATAATATAAGTAAGGCAAACTAATAAGAATAATCTCGTCAATTGTTTTTATTGTTATTATTACTGTTTTTATTGTTATTCTCGCGTGTCGAAGCTTTTAAAAGACCGGATACAGACGGGATCTAGGGCAAAATGAAAGCGGAAATATTTCAGGAGTAGCTCCAGGAAAAATATTTTATGAGCAATTAATGACAATGCTAGTATTATTGGATTGATGTCGTGGTGTTGGAGTAATATTGGACTGATTTCATTTCTCTTGTACAGCTCTGTACCGGACACAGAGGTGATAAATGACCGGAACAATTTATAGAGAGTGGACGTGGAGTTGTTATATTTGTTGGAACCTCTATGGAACTGAAGACATATCTGTGACGGACGGTTACAAAATTACGTGTTTTACGTTGATTAATTTAACGAACGATCAAAATATTGTGAAAAAAAATGAATTTCTTAAACGATGTGAAGTTTCAACATCAAAATAGTTCTATATTTATATCACAAAATTATCTCTACTACTACTTTTATAAAGTTCAACAGTACCCTTTAACAAGTTGGGTGACTACACCTTGTGACTCAGATCAAGTATATTATATATATATATCAATGAGTATGTATAATATGTATATCTATCCATGAGTAAGAGAGATAATTTTAAAAGAACCAATGAAAACAGCGGGAAGCAGATTGTTCTGTAAGTTGATTAACCGTGATGACAAAGTAATGGAAATGTGATTGATATATCATATATTTTCATGCTCAGGAAAATGAGTACCACATGAATCTAGTAATATACTACCAGCTTAATTCGCTATATCAGGGCGATATTCCAAAAGTACAAAACTATACTAATATGCATAATGGTATATTTATTTCGTCGATTCAAAATACTATGCATCAAAAAACTTTGACTTTTCAATGATAAAATTATACATTTTTATATTCAGAAGATTGAGTACTACATGAAATTATTATAAAACTATCAGTTTAGTTCACTATATCAGCGCTACGTTCTGAAAATTGAGCTATAGTGCGTAGTTCATAATGATAACTATTCGCTCTTGATGAATATTTTTGTCTAAAAACGAAGTTTTACTAATTTTTAATAGCAACCCCGATCATACTGGAGAGGGTCATGCCTTTTCCCACTCTCGTCCCCTATTTGACCTGCCAATGTAATTTACACATATATATAATATATATATATATATATATATATATATATATATTACATATATATATATTCTATATATGGTATTTTACACATAACTAAAATAAATATAACGGCCTTCGCTCACTTTTAACGGTCGAACAAGGAGCTTACTTCCGGAAGAGATTTGGAGGGTGATTTATTATCGTTCGAGTCAAGAGTCGGGCTATTTGACATGCTTGGATTATTGGCTTACGAAATTGCAGGGATTTTAACGAGCAAGCTATATAAAATATTTACTTGACTTAATATGCTTAAAACATTGTAGTAATTCTCTTTAATTTTATTAAATAAAATTATGATTTTATTAAATAAAATTATGTATTATTAAATTATTGTTGTTAATTTGAATACTGAAGCCGAAGGTTGGCTTAGTTGAACTAAAGTCACCCTTTTTTACACTATTCGATCATGTTAAAAAGTTGTTTGCTCATGAAATAAACGGCCTAAATAGATCAAAATTGTTATTTGAACAACTATCTTCATTATATTCAATGAATATTTTACATTCTGCTGGTGCTCATAGAAATTATGGTTGCTGAAATCATACGTTGGCTTACTGCAGTGGCTTACTGGGTCTCATACAACAGTGTCGTGGCGATAAGTCAATATATTCATTTCACAATTATTTTTGTCAATATAAAGAAAGAAATTGCTTTTGTCTGGTAAAATACAGTGGCCAAGTAAAGCCGTATGTTGACTTAATCGGATTTTTTTTTTCATATATACAATACTATGAGATCAATCAATCAAACAACCAACCATTCATTCAATCAACTAATCAACCAACCAATCGACCAATCAATGAACCATATTTGAAAAATATTTGCAAGGCTTGTTCAAACTCGAACAAACACTTAACTGTACAGATCTACAAACAATTTCGAGATTTTAGTAAAAGAAAAACACAATAGTTGCTTTTATTAAATCAAGAAATATCCAAAAATTATATAACCAAATTTAAAAAAACTAGAAACCAGTCAACATTTAATAAATAATTAAATAAATAGACATTATTAAAAAGATTGTTCAAAAAGGTAAAATTTAAGTCGACGACGAGAATAAAATGTAGTTTGTTTTGTTGGTGTGGGGCTGTGAAGCGAAAACAAACACATCACAAAAAACTAGTAAAAAGTCGCAAGAATAGTAGTCAGTCACCTACCTACAATTAAATTACTCTCAGGGCCCTAGCTTACTTATAATCATTAACTCAACTCACCTACCTACAAATATGTTTTTCTACGTTTTTGGAATTTTACATGTTTTAGGTATTTTATTTTACATATTTCAGCATTTTTATTTTACTTGAAACTTTTTAACTAATTTTAAACCCTAGCCTACCTACGATTGTTCAACTCATCTGAATCCCTAACTTACCTACGAATTAAAATAAGTCTGGTAAAGAAAATAGAAAGTTGAAGAAAAACATAACAACAACGACACCGAATGAATGGATGTTGTGTATGTGTGTGTTTTATTGATGTGTGCGTGTAAATGTGCGGGCGTGTACTCTCTAAAAACTTCTTCACTCACTACACTCTTCACTCCATTGCACCGACCATCATCTGACACGCATCGATGGAATGAATTTGACCGGATACTGAAAAACACTAAATTGAAAAAAATAATAATTCTTTAAAGTAAAAAACAAGCCATTGGAAAAAAGGCAACTTACCTTATTGAAATGACAAATTCGAGTACTTTCAATGGTACGATGGTACAAGAACAAATTTTCTTTTATCTTCAAATTGTCATCGGAACGATCATCATGAGACCACCATCTGAAACATGCTGATGCTCACCACAGCCCACCTCTCATTATTCTGTAGACAAGTTTTTTTTAATTAGCGTGTTGGTAAATAATCAAGGAACAAAAGAACGAACGAATAAATGATTAACTGAATGATTGAACGATTGGTTGAATGAATGAATAATTAATTAATCAATCAATAAATGATTTAACGAATGAATAGAATGAATCAATTAGTGGAGGAATAATTTGAAAGATAGTGATAAAATGAATGAGAAAAATAAAAAAAAAACTAAACCATACTTCAAAAATCGTCGTTGTTGTTTTCTTCAAATTGTCATCGGAACGATCATCATGAGACTACCATGTGAAACGTGCTGACGCCCACCACAGCCAACATCTTATCATTCTGTAAAAAGTTTTTATTAGCTTAGTAGTAAATCAAGGAACATAGGAACGAACGAATAAATGATGAACTGAATGATTAAATAATTAGATAATTAGTTAAAAGACTGAATGAATGAATGAATAGAATGAATTAACGTCAATTAATGGAAGAATAATTTGAAAGATTGAGGGAAAAAATGAATGAATGAGAAAAACAAAAAAAAACGAAACTAAACCTTACTTCAAAAATCGTCGTTACTTTAATCCATTGCACCGACCACCACATTCAGATCGGCACACAAGATTTCATCCGAACTTCTGAGTGTCAGTCGAACAGCCAACGCGCTGATTCTTCCTACACCACATCATCATACGTAAATCATCATGAGACCACCATCTGAAACGTGCTGACTCCCACCACTGCCCACCTCTCATAATTCTGTAGACAATTTTTTTATTAGCGTAGTAGTAAATGAATGTTAGAATCTCAGAAGCAAAAAATTATAAAATGGAAATAATGGCAAATAAATAATAACTGAAAATAATAAAGAGATTAAAATGTAAAAAAAAACTTACCGTCGTCCATTCGACAAAGGCAGAATGTTGAATGCTTTCCGGTTCCTACGTTGTCTTCCAAAACTGGTGCCAGTCCTCCTCGAGATTGTTGTTGAAACACAGCCCGTGTTGATGGAGAAAGATAAACAGAAGATTCTCATCAGAAAGCTTAGCGGTGCCTGCATCTCAAATTGCTTAATAAAAATAATCCTATCTACCTATTCAATTACTTTAGCTAATTTATTTTAAATTATTAATGGTACGATAGTCGAAAGTCCCCCTCCATTCTCCATCCTTGCACAAAGGCTCACCGACAGCCAGGGCACCGGATAGTAAACCATTGCCGTGCGGATAGTAGACTATTGCCGTGCGGATAGTAAACCATTTGCCGTCCGGAAGCCGTGCGGGTAGTAGACTATGGCCATGCCGCATAGTAAATCATTACCGTGCAGATAGTAAACCATTGCCGTCCGGATAGTAAACCATTGCCGGTTCACCACTGGCCACCAAGGCTTACCTCTGACAAGAGACTTTGAAATTCAGAGTCTATCGGATATCGTACCCTCAACTTACCTATTCATTACAATTAAGCCCTAGCTTACCTAAAATTACAAAACTCAAGAGCCCAATTCATTGGCCTTTCGGCACCCACCCCACCACCTACGTAATGCCTTGGGCTCCAACTTAGTAATAATATAAAACTTAAACCCTAAATCTATTAATGAGTTTGTGTTACAACGTAGCCTTAACTTACCTATTCATTACATTACGGCCATAGCTTACCTAAAATTACAAAACTCAAGAGCCCAATTCATTGGCCTTTCGGCACCCACCCCACCACCTACGTAATGCCTTGGGCTCCAACCTAATAATAATAATGTAAAACTTATAATTTACCTACCTATCGATACACTTACAGCGTTTTAATTTACATTACAAGATTGTTCCTAGAATTACATTATTGCCCTTAACTACCTATGAAATTAAATTACTCTCAACCTTAGTAATAATAAATTAGAATGTGTAATGAAAATAAAATTACGCTCAAATACTAACATATGTGTTTATGTATGCAATTGTGTGTGTGCAATACGCTGATGCGTGTAATGTGGGTGCAAGAAAAAATAGAAGTGATAAACTTACGCGCCTACCTATTCAACTACCTTAGTGTTGTATGCTTCCTATCTATCCTACCTACAATTAAAATTATGCCTATCTAACCTACCTATATAGCTACTTAATGTAATTGTGTGTGTATGTGTGTGCGTGTATGCATTCCTACTTAATGATAAATTACAGAAAAAAAAGGCTAAAACGTATCCCAGCCAGGCGTGTATTCTTTGCCACTGAATAAACGAACGTGGCCTGATATCTTCCATGATGAGCTCCTCTGAAAGCTTCAATCTGAATGAAATGAATAAAATGAAAAAAACTTCTTTATTTAAATAAATATAAATGAAAATTGAAAAACGAGCCGCGGTGAAACCCGCCAGCAGAAAAAGCAAGCCAACTGGCAAAAAAAGGAACCGCCAAGAAACCGTAAAACGTACCCCTGTCAGGCGTGCATTCTTTGCCAATGAATGAACGAACGTAGCGTAACATCACAACCATTCTGATCGTCCACGATGAACTCCTCTGGAAGTTTCAACCTGAATGAATGAACCTGAATGAACCTGAATGAACCTGAACGAACCTAAATGAATGGAAAAATGATATTTGTTTAATCAATTAAAATGTAAAAAGAGAAACGCAAAGAAGCCGACCGGTCGGCAAAGAAAAGAACCTCAAATAAAGGTATCTATATAGGATTTATGCTCTATATAACTCTATATAACTCTATATAACTCTATATAACTCTATATAACTCTATATAACTCTATATAACTCTATATAACTCTATATAACTCTATATAACTCTATATAACTCTATATAACTCTATATAACTCTATATAACTCTATATAACTCTATATAACTCTATATAACTCTATATAACTCTATATAACTCTATATAACTCTATATAACTCTATATAACTCTATATAACTCTATATAACTCTATATAACTCTATATAACTCTATATAACTCTATATAACTCTATATAACTCTATATAACTCTATATAACTCTATATAACTCTATATAACTCTATATAACTCTATATAACTCTATATAACTCTATATAACCACGCATACTACCACATTCAATCAATAAAAATCCCACTAAAACCAGGAACCACCGCGTACCTGTTATATGTATGGTGTGAAACAAAACAAAACAAAAAACAAAACAAAAAACACACCCCCAAGTAGAGTAAAAGAATAGAAGTCCCTAACCTACCTATGTAACTAAGTTACTTTATGCCCTAGCCTACCTATATAATAAATTAATCTCAATCTCACCTACCTATGTTTTATTAACTCAAGACTCATGAAGAAAGAGAAAAAAGAGTAAAACAGAACATAACATATTACCACAAACAAACA